GCCTTTTCTGTCAACGGTAAGCTCTATGATTCCTTCCGAAACAAGACGATATACATGTATATGCTAAACACCTGTTTTAAACAGCGGCCATGTACATCGTTGCTCGACTTATTATCGGATTTGGTCTTCCTTATGCCATTGTGGCCGGCTCCAGTCTCATCTCAGAACTTGCCTATCCCAAAGAACGTGCTGTCCTCACTTCGTTGTTCAATGCGGCCTACTTTGTTGGTGCTATCGTCGCCTCGTGTGTCACATATGGAACGCAGACTATTCCTTCCGACTGGTACGTTGAATCGAAATTGCAATATTTACCATCATCATAGTTATAAACTAAAGCTAACCATGTCTTTTTGAATAGGTCCTGGAGGTATGATACTGTCGCTGGGTGTCGATGGATTTTCAAACTTTGAGCTGACTGTTTTTGACATATAGACTCCCCTCGCTTCTACAAGCGTCGCCATCTCTGCTCCAGGTTATCTTCATCTTGTATGTTTTCTTTCCACAATAGGCCGAAACCGTTTGATGGAATAGACAAAGAATCTAATACATTTCCTCTAGCTTAATCCCAGAAAGTCCTCGATACCTCATCAGCAAGGACCGTCATGAGGAAGCATTCAAGATCATCGCGGATTATCACGCCGAAGGCGACGTCAACTCCGAGTTCGCCAAGGCCGAGTTCGCCGAGATCAAGGCGACCATCGCCATCGAGATGGAGTACTCGAAGCAATCGTGGATGGACCTGATCAGCACCAAGGCCAACCGTCGTCGTCTCCTGATCGGCTCGCTCGTCGGTGTCTTCACCCAGCTGTCCGGCAACGGCGTCATCTCGTACTACCTAGGAGACATCCTCAAGCTCGTCGGCTTCACCGACCCGTCCTTCGAGGCCCAGTACAACATCGGAAACCAGGTCTGGGGTCTCGTCTGCGCCGTCATTACCGCCCTCGTCGTCATGCGCTTCCGTCGCCGAACCATGTACCTCTTCGCCATCGCCTGGATCCTGATCGCCTACGTCGGCTGGACCATCTCCGCGGCTAAAGCCATCCAGGATAAGAACGACACGGCCGCCAAGCTCACACTCTTCTGGATCTACTTCTACCAGCCCGGTTATAACATTGGTTTCAACGCTCTCACATATAGTAAGCGTCCATCACTCATGGTCCATCAGTGGCCAAGTTATGCAATTTGTACTAACCCCCCTCAACAGCCTTCCTTGTCGAAATCTTCCCATACGCGATGCGAGCCCGCGGTATTACGGTATTCCAATTCTTCGGAAAAGCGTCGCAATTCTTCGGAACAAACGTCAACCCCGTCGGTCTCGACCCGGACACCGGTATCGGCTGGAGATTCTTGATCGTGTACTGCATCTGGATCGCCATCGAGGGTGTCCTCATTTACTTTATATGGCCCGAGACATCTGGTCATACTTTGGAAGAACTTGCGTTTTGTACGTTTTCTTCTTCCTTTTCTTTCATCCCCATTTCAGATTTACTAACACAAGTACGTCACAGTATTCGAGGACGACGAAAGAGCCCAGACGGCCGCAAAAGCTGCCGAGCAAGAGGTTCATCACGAAGAGTCTGTTTCTGATGAGAAGGCGGGTGGACATGTCGATACTAGAGAGACGGTTTAAATTGGGTATCTAACTAGGAAAGGGGGCAAGTAAAAGTAGGTTAGTCAGTCATATAGTTTCTACTCGAACTTTGTTTGTTCGTTGCGGGATTATTGTATACAAGTAGATAGTCCCCGGAAAGAAAGAAAGAAAGGTTTATTGGGTAGCTTGTCTTTACCCCGCCCCCCCCCCCCCCTTTTCTGATTATGAATTGGTTTAATCCTTAAGGTGTTATTATGAAATTTCTGATCTGGTTGCGGGTTACGTACGTGCCTACATGTACTTACGGCCATAAGACCCCCAGGAATAATCGTGTCTGTCTAAGGGGCGTAGGTCCGGACTTTTGAAGCCTTGTTGTAGTAGCTTGCATTAGTACAGGGATTGATTGATTGATACGGTTTCTTTCTTTCTTTCTTTCCTTCTACCTCTGTGGAAATTACTTGTAGGTACCTATCCTGATCGGAAAATGTAGGCCCGAAGTTTTGTGTAACACTCGCAAAAAAAACTGGGCGGTCTGTCTGATTCTCCTATCTTGCCTAAATTACCCGCCGGGAGAAACTAGGTAGACTAGCTGACTAACTGGCTGGGTACGAGAAAGGTAAGTCGAGTGAGTGGAAAACTACACGTAACTTCCATCCTCCTCAACCCTCCATACTAGACTTACCATGTACACAACACGTATAGTAAGGTATCTATCTAGTCCTACCACATGAGGTTGGTAATACCTAGGTAAGGTATATTACATTGGCGGTGAGGTGAGGTGATACGGTAACAAACAAAAAGGACAGGTGTGCAATACTCGTAGATGAGCGGCTATTTGTTTGTTTGTTGTTGTTATGTATTAACTGAATCGGCATAGAGAGAGGGGGTGGGGGAGAGAGAGAGAGATAGATAGATATCGCAACATTATTTATATTTTATCTTTTGAAGAGACATGGCTGAACACGACAGTAGACTTTCTTCTATTGGCAATCAGAAAGAGATTGGAAGGAAGTAAGTGTCGAAGCCAACGAGTATGGCAAACACTTGTTAACCAGGGGTACCTTTACCACCCTTGACGCAATCACGACGTTGCGTAGGCTTGAGAATCAACTTGGTACCTATCAAACTTCCGATATACTATACTCTCTCTATTGCAATGCCCGGCCTTGGGAGGTCATGGGCCTTGGGAGATCATATATACGTATATGCAAAGTAAACTCATGCCTGGCACCGTCTTCTTTACACAAGAGGTATCTTCAAATAACGTCGTAACACAAATATTATTAAGAATTATCTAACCGCCTTCTAATCCCATCGTGTTCTTTACCCTTGGAGAGACGCCTGTCTTGACCCAGACGTCCGTCCATGCATTATTTTCCTGCTATACTGGCTTCATCACGGCGTCTCCATTGTTTTTTATCCTCCACGTTAAGCCATGAACCGAGCCATAAGAATGAACTTTTAGTTATACTCAGAATGTCGTAGGAAGTTTCGGATAATCCTTAGCACGGGCATCCAAGTCGGCAAAGATGGCGGTAGAGTCATCCCCCTTCAGGTCTTCCATCCTATGAGTATCTTCGTCTTCTAGTTTCTCTAGTTCCTCCACCGGCTTTTCTTTGTCCTCCCCTTCGTCTTCCTTTTGCGGCTCCGTGGCCTTTTCGAGACCGCTCGATTCGCCAACGAGTAAGAACTGCGTAGAGACGTAATCGAGGTGATTTGGCTTCGATGGCAGCCAGCGTAGGTTTCGGAATTCGTCTTGTACCCTGAATTCATACAGGTTGGTTAGTATGTACCGTTATAGTCAGATTTCCGCCCAAGACTCGACTTACTCCTTGGGATACTCGGGACCCTTGGGAAGCGCTGTTCCCCTCGGCGCATCATATTTAGGATTTCTCGTGCTAAGGATGAAACTTCCTTTGTCTTTCAGTCCCAGATCCTTTTGCACTTCACCAAGCTCAGACGGCAACGTGATCATGTACGCGAGATGAGTTTCCCGTCCCGTCGTGGTGATGGCGTAGACACCTTCGGCAGCCGGGGTAACCGCCGGCGTGTGTCTTGTACCCTTGGTCTTCGTCTCGTACTCTGAACCCGAGAGGAATTCGTCCTTGAGCGTCTTGAATGACGCGTCAGACTTCTCCACGAAAGCGATCCATCTATCCCTGCCGCTGCGCGGGAACACTTTCTTCGGTACCGCGATTAGTCTCGTGTTGCCGGCGTCTTGGATCGTGCCCTCTCCTAGCTTGGCCTCTTTGTCTAGAGGCCGCAACACCATGTAACTGCGCTGGATCTCGTCGACGTTGCTCGGTTCGGTTATCTCTACGCGGCCGCGGAAAAAGAAGTATATGAGTCCCTTCTCCAGGATGTTGGACGGGACTATTCCTTGACGGGCATTGGGTTGTTCGGCATTCTGTATATGGTTTCCATTTGCGCGGCCATCGATACTGTCGGATCCACTCTCTTGTGATTTCGTAGGGACATGGCCATTTCCATATGCCTCTGTGGGACTGGGATTGGTTTCAGCAAGGGCGCATATACGCTTTTAAGGAAGGAAACGTGGATTATGATATACCTTGGTATTCTGTCTTCGTCGTCTTCTTTCTTGGTACGTTTCGGACTTGGTGACGCCTTATCTTGGATCTGATGTTTCGAGCCCGCCCCGTCTTCCTTCTTCTTGTCACTATTTGTAGCGCCGTTCTTCTCGGCGGCTCTAGTGGTAGGCATCGTGTCAGGAATCACTCTATTCACTTCCAGTCTGAATTCAAGGTGGGCTTGTTACTAGTTGGGAATCGCGACCAATGGTATGTAATAATGGTTGGTTATTTTTGCAATTGGTAGAAACTTGGATTAAGTTGTAGATGGGCTTCTATACATTATTTCTTCACCGCGACTCCCCATTCATCCCATCTCTTGGTAATGACGACCTGAGAGTTCCCAAAGCCACCTCCGTAATGAGCTCATCAATCTGATGTCATTGCAGGGTCCAGGTACCATTGCGTTTACTAGGCTAGCGCCAGGGCCAACAGCGCTAGTCCCCCGATGCTGCATCGTACCTGAAGGAGGTAGAAAATTACCTAGAATGTCCAGGTACATTTAAGTACTGCTTCTGCGTGGCAGGCTACAACGTTACTTGTAAATACATGCCAAGTAGGGGTCACACATGCTGTTACCTACGCGCAACGACTAGACTTAGACTACCTAGATGTACGTGTCTGTGTATTGTACAATCTGTTAGAAATACAAAAGAAGAAATTATTGTCTCTAAGGTACTCGTAGGTAGCTGCTTACATGACATGTCCTCTATTATCTGTTTGGAACAATTGTTAGTCCATAAATATCAGAGTAAACTGCACGTGTATCTACGAGATCTAATCGTCATAATCTTGATATACAAGGGTTGCAAAAAAGACAATGTCCCGTGTGAGGATCGAACTCACGACTTCCGCATTTCGGTATAATCTCCTCAGTATTTCCCAAGGAATTATAAGAACGGCACGCTAAACCACTGCGTCAACGGGACTTTGTGTGATTTGTGATTTGTGCTTCGCGCCGTTTTCTCTATTGTACCTAGAAGAAGAAGAGGAAGATAAACAAATCCCGTCCCTAGTGCATTATTTACTATCTAGCTTGAATGTCGATATACAAACGGTAACAAATTGACCCCCAAAACAACTCTTTCTCCCCTTTTCTAACTGTAGGGTAGGTTGTACAAGAGGGGGGGGGGGAGGAGGAGGAGGGAGAGGGGTCTTTTATACGTATGAGGCATTTGCACGCGTCAATTCCATATGCCCGGCAATTGTATCTAGTGCCTGCCGAATAGGGATTCCGCTCCAGCTTGATAGGGTATGTATTCTTTTCAAGAGCAGGTCGATGGAGTTTTTGATCCTTGGCACCAGCGATTCATGCAGGTAACCGATGATTTACCGGGCGATAACTTCAATTCCCTACCTACCGCTTGCCGTCTACTTGGCTGTCAATGAACAAGATGAGCGTCGAAGAGAGGCATTCCATTCCATTTCCTATTCGTCTCCGAGCTTACACATAGGTAATGATTAGGGGCACACATAAGCGTGGTAAAAAGGAGGCCTATCTTGGTGAGATTACTCCCTACCTCGATCCAAGTTAAGAGATATCATTTAATTATATTACTCGGTTAAAAATATATATATGGTAAATATGTACTTTATGTAGTAAAGCTGCCACAAAACCTTGCCCAGACATTCCGCTATATAGTGAATAACGAACCGAGGGACTCAACTACAGCAGCTATGACTGCTTGTAGATCCTCTGTAGGGTCTTCCGGCTCATTGTCATCCGTCGTCTGGTAAACCCACTCCGATTCCCACTCCAGCAATTCGCCCGCAAAGACCTTCTGGTTATACTTATCCGGCGGAGTAGCTACAAGGTACTCGACAAACTTCTGCCAACGTGGCAGATAGTATGTCGAGACCAGACCGCTCCAGGCACGTGACGCATAATCCGATATCTGTCCTGTCGGTCCCCAGAGCGTCACTTGGTTGCGGGCGTTGTACTCGAGGAAATCCGCAATGACGGCGTGATCTGGATCGGACGCGTTAGCAGTGGCCCGGGCCGCAGAGATCCAGGTTGATAGTCTAAAGTTCTCATTCGTCGCTAGGACCGAGTCGAGCGCGGATAGGAGTTTGTCAAATTTCTTCCCCTGCGCCTTGAGTGCACAATCCCGGAATTCCGAGTCTGCGGTTGAGGTATAGGTTGAGATGAGTTCCTGGTAGTATGGTATAAAGGCGTTGGCGAGTAGCTGGCGTGTAAAGTCAACGAGGTCGTACTGATAAGCCGGGTTCGAGAACAGCGTCTGCTCTTCTAGGCCTGCGCGGTATAGCCTGTCCCAGGCCGCGACCACGTCGGCGGGATCGTAGTTGATAAGGGTGGGGTGGTGGCCTGTGCGGTTCAACAACCCCTTCATGTTGGGTATGAGTTCGTAAATGCCCTTGGGCACGGCGTTGGCAACTAGGTTGGTGTTGTTAAAGACTGTCGGCCGTAGGATCTCCCACGCTTCGTAGAGGCCCTCGGGAAGATTGCCGTTGCTTGCACCGTACCGTGTGCTCACCCAATTTTGGAAGTAAGCCTCGGTGTCGATTGGAGTTTTGCTCCAAGCCTGGTCTAGAAGGAGGTCGTACATGATTTCATTACCTTCGAGACCTTCAGGGGTTAGACCGAAGCCCACAAGCGTTTCGCTTGCTTCGACCGCTTCTATCGCGTTGACGGTTATGTTCATGATCTGGCCATACTATGAAGAGACATGTGTGAGTACGGTAGAAAGCAATATGGGGGCTGCGGGAGGCTCTTACCAAGCCATAGTTCCCACCATAGTCGTGTAACTGGCACCATATCCAAGGCTTGCCGTAGAATGAGCTAGTCCGCTGCCATTGCGGCTGGGACTCGGAGAACAGGTCAAGAATGAGCATGTCGGAGTCGACGGTTACGCCACCCAAGAAGGCCTTGACGCGTGCATTCGTCCAAAAAGCCGAATTGGACGAGAACAACCAGCCTTGCATGAGCCAGATGGCACTAGGATCTGCGGCTTTGAGAGATTTCCACGTGTTCTTACTGACGCTCTCGAGATAACCCAGATCGCCCGATGCTGGGTTGTTCTCGTTAAACTGGTCCAGCGTCCACAGATCCGTGACATTTCCGTAATACGCCTTCTGTTTCGACACGAAGCGGACCTGGAGTTCCTCAAACAGGGGGTCAAAGGGGTCAAGGAAAGTGGCGTTTGTATACCGGGTCGGGAAATCTTCCCAGGTCGAACCATTCGAGACGTTGGCGGTGGGGTAGACATGTGTGATAGCCCGAGGGGTGTATCCCGGGAACGCAGGAAGGATGGGCTTGATGCCGAGCTCTACCATGCGCTCTACAATCTTCAATTGCAGTGCGAACTGGTCCTCAATCCACGACTCCGGCATCGAGCCACCCCAGGAGCCCTGGATGTTGCCGAAGTGGTTCCAGGCAAGGAAGGCCGGGCCGCTTACAAAATCTTCGAGGTCAGCATCTGTGAAGCCCATTTCACGAAAGACTTCGATGTAGATCTTCTCAAACCCGATCCAGGCCAGAGCGATATTGATGCCCCGGATCGCCATCCAATCCAGATGCTCTTCCCATTCCTCCCAACTCCAGAAGGCAGATGTGTAAGAGGTTGTCACTATGAATACTTTAGTTAGCAAGATGAAGCTGTAAACACTGTCCAGCGGGTGATGTCAACTCACCTGTGTTTAGGTAGTACCGGTAAGGCACAATGCTCGAGCCCGTTAGTGGGGTCTTGAGCGAGGGTAGTTCACTAGGGGCATTGTGTAACTGGCTTCCAACAAACCACCAAATGTCGACATGAGCCTCATTTGACAAGTAGGCATGGAGACTAAAGTACGAGTAGTGCTGCAGTTAGCCACATCGTATATTTGCCTCGCCCGAAGGAATCAACGCATGTAACACCCACCCTGCAAATAGACCGCCCACCGTATTGCCTTGCACAAGGATGGCGCCGTCGCTCGTGCTTGAGACGTTATAGCTATCGTTTACAAGCCCTGTGTCAACTTCGTCAAGATCGGCTTCGCTGTCCGATTGTAAATCTACGACCTCGAACTTGAATGATCCTGCATGCTGTGGCAGACGGCGGTGAACAAAAGATTCAACACCAGCTGTGGATGCTGCGGTTCTTATGGCGACGACGCCGGCGACCACTGCGGTCCATCCGACGAGGATGTTGAATGTACGCATGGCGGGCGACCTTCTTGGGCTCCGAGTCCCAGCACGTTAGGTCTACGTCGACCTAGCAGAATGTTGCTGGAAAACAACAAGAAAATTTACGTGTGGAAGTGAGTGACGTCGCGGAGAGACCATCCTGTAGGCCCCGTTTACAATGTATCCTACCTACTTTATTTTACCAAGTACGAGTAATACTTGCTTGGCAATGCCTTGCCCTATCAAGACAATCTCGACTAAACATTGTCGTGATTTCCGACACTGCAAGAAAAACAGGGGTTAAGGTTGGTGGGTAAAAGTGTGTGGATCAATCATTTCCCCCAATACCTACCTTACCTAAAAGAGGATAAATTATTCCTTCTGATTTGATGTAACGTCACTGACCCAATATACCATAACTAAATATATCTGATAAAGCGATCACGATTCCCGTAAAAAAGATAGCTTATACATATTTCTATAAGCGCTAGCAGCCACCCTATTTTGCTTTTCTTTCTTACAAGTACCTAGTTCTTAGTATTACCAAACAGCACCGACGACAGACTACCCTTCCATTGTCCAAGGCCTTCTATTCGTAAATAGTATTCCTACACCCGAAGCACGTATATTGTCTATTATCAAACACTTGTACCTACTTGCCAACATAGGACCTTCGTACCTAATTCCTTTCACTACGATCCTGACGGCCGGAACGATTTGTTTGTTGGCCCAAAGTGGTCGCATATAAGGTAAGATATAGCTTGGCTCATGACTAGAAAGAACGGAGCCCGACTCAGATAGCGACTTAAATGGTAGGGGATATGCCGAACAAGGTCCTGTCAATTTTCTAGCACCAAGAAAGGCGCATGAGCAGAGACTATATCATTAGCCAAGGATGTATCGCCACAACTGCAGACGGGGGAGTGCATATGTCACTCCTGAGATCAGTCAGTACTTGCCGAAACACTCACACATGAGTGATCATTCGGTGCTTTCTAGTTGATACAGCTATGAAACCATATTCTAGGCGAGCCCGCGATCCCGTATCGACGGTAACCAGCAAAAAATCAGCTGACCATCCAGTCCTTGTAGTAAATACCGGACGCTGCAGCTACGGCAGTAAAGGAAGGGGAGGTAGATAGGTCGATTCCATCCAGGGCAGCCAACCGGCGAACACTGGCGAGACAGCAGATAGTAAGCAGTAATAGCAGGAGTGTCTAGACCCAAAATGAAAATTCACGCAGCGACTTGCATGCTCATGGCGAGTTTATATCGATTCCGACTCGGTTGACCTGTGATTGTCGCAAGATGTGTTTTGGGTTCGTAGCCCGCACAGCTCAGGGACAGAACCACGGCTCACCCACGCATTTCAATACCATAATCAGGCTGGCGGTAATAAAGAATGCGAATCAATTGAGATAGGCGACACTGGGAAAGGTTTGAAAAGGGGCAAAAAAGTGCTCAGTCACAATGTACGTGAGATATACCGCACGATTCTGGTAGGAAAAGAGTGACAGAGGACATGGCTGTCATCAACGGCCAACTCTAGGAGAAGGAAAGAATACTCAGCTATAATCTTGCCATAGACCAGCTCCCGTAACCTAACAATTAGAACCTATCAATGTCTTCATTTGCGTATTCGTACAGAAGCGAAGACTAAGTTGCCCAACCCTCCTTGACTGTAATAATAAGGGAACTTTTGCCCCTTAATCAAGCGCCCGTCGCGCCAGTTAACCCTCATCAAAGTGGAATAAAATAACTGAGCCCACCGGAAAGATGTAGACCGTTTAATAATACCTGCGATAG